AAAACATTATTCCTTAACATACAAGATAAAGCWATTTTACTATTTTTGTAGATTAGTTGGGTTTATTTTTTTGCTTCAGACACTTGGGGGAACAGCATTTTGTTACATTATGGGAGCTGCAGCATGTAATACATAATTATAACATAACATTTCATGATTTATCGTATCAAGTTTTAGGTAATAACTAAATATAATTTTTAAATTCGTGCGATTTTTAATCGAAACTTTTTTTTTTTTTGGTTCATGCAAAACGTTTGTTTCTAATTAAGTGAGGTTACTAAAGATARATTATGATGATTTTACCTGCTATGGCCTGTAAAATATATATTTTTACTAGGCACAAAAATAATTATTTTATCTAGCTAATATTTTTAATTAGAGATATGTATAATAAATACCTAACTAACATGTTATAATATAACGATTATAACGTATTTGTAATTACTTTTAGATGGCAAACAAACATCTGTTAACTCACCAAAATATTTTTTTTTTAAATTTACTTTACCAAAAATCAATTACTATGTTATGCGGCACTCAAGAAAACCCTTTACCAATATTCAAAAAAAAAAAAATGGAGAGCCGCTAAAAATTGTGATCGAACAACATTACTGACTCTCCGTCGTCCAACAGTCATATCAAAATTCAGAGACACTATACCGAGACTCTATTGTCAACCAATTAAAAACCCTCTTCCATCATGGGGATATGGAAAATTGGACGAAAAAATTCCAATGTATCACGGGAACAGTCCATCTGGTCCAATTATCTTCCATAGAGGACAAATGGGAAAAAATCCTTTGCAAGCAAATACTAAATTTAGTTTTGAGGTAAACGATCCGCATAAAATATCGCACAGATATAACTCATTACACGATCCACATTTAAAACACTGGGTTAATTCACCAATTAATAAAAAAATTCTACAAAAGCAAGGACTCATTACTGAAGACAATCATGTGATTTGTATAGCTTAAATGAATACAATGAGTACAGAAGATAAAATTCTTCGTACATAATGATTCAATAATGCATAAGCAAAAAGTCATAGACTAGCAACAATAAGAAAAACTCATAAGGAACCTTGTATTAAATTTTAAAGTTTTTTTGGTGATCCAAAATTTTTTTACCGACACTTCAATAAATTATATAAATTTTTCTTTTATCACTTCAGACAAATTATTTAATATAATTCAAAAWTGACAAAAAAATAATATCAAAAATTTAAATCTCCAAACTCTGCTATTTTTTATATAGAAAGTTGGTTTGACTATTTAAATTCATGAAAAAATAATAAATCAAAAAAAGGTGGGGTTGCCATTAAAAAAAAAAGTTGTTATGTCTATTATGCACAAAATTAAATGGCCTAAAAATAGTTTAATTAACTTAATAAGTTATAACAAAATTTGTTAAGCAGCAACAACAAACAGAATTCAAATATATTTAATATTTGCAAAGTTATAGAGTGTTTAGGATTGAAATGAAATTGAGTTTGCTGAATGTACAATTTGTGTATATTAAGTGTTATAGTAAGACAGAGAAAACCCAGTGGGTGCAACGTTCTTTTAGAATAATTAATTAATTAAATTGTTTAGTTCATAATAGTTACAATAATTAATTAAATTCTGCTTATTAATACAAATAATAAGTTATAAAAAAT